ACGTTCGGTCAGGTAACCCTATATATATATATATTGTCCTCTTCTCCCTCTCTGCCTACGGTTTACCGGGCAGTTCTATTTGACGATTAAGCATTTATAGAAGGAGCATCCACAGATGCTAGATCCAAAGGAAAATTATGAGCATTACGTTCATGCATAACTTCCGGATTTATAGAAAATTTTCGTGAAGTTGTTATTTCTGATAAGAATTATTCTTTATTAACTTTTACTTCTAATTTTTATTTCTAGTTCTTCTATTTCAATTTATATAGAAAAGAATATGAATATGAATACATACATATTATATGCAAATATTCTAATTACAATCAACATATGAACATCCATTCCTATTTTTTGTTTTTATATATAGATTGTATTGATTTTGACATTTTACAATATAACTGCTACAGAAGCCCAATTTTGGGGTTTTATTTCAATTACTTCTACTCCTTGGTAATCAAACCCTAGCGGTCACAATTGGAGAATCTATATATTTCGGTTTTTTATTTTTAACTCATGATTGGCTACGAATTTGAACATGAAGTCAAAAGTTGTTTGTATTGTTATTTTACATAACATATATTTTTTTCAGATTTTTTGGAGAACTTTTTTTTGTTTTTTTTAATATATTTTTTTATGTTTTCGGAGGGTTTTGGGTGCGTGTTCGCGTTCGCCTCTGAATGCGAACATGGTTCTACGTAGCTTTTGAGCATTCGGCATCCTGACCATATCCCGTCCCCCCTTTCCCCCACCACCACTGGCAGCCAAAATGAAAGTCTGACCTCCGGATGCGTCTATTGTCTGAAGCAGTCCAGATACATCACATTGTCTGACTTTTTTTTTTTTTTTTAAGAGTAGCATCTTGGGGACAGCAGATGCCCAAAATTTTGGATTTTCTTTATTTATAAATTATAATGTTTTTATTTATTATTATTGGGTTCTTTACACAGCCTCATCCCATTCAAAGAAAACAAAAATTCAGCTTTTACCTAGGCTACCAGAGTGGCCCGGGACCACTTGCCCGGCCTGGCCAAAAATAAAATTAAAAAAATAATATTTGATTATATTTCTATTTTTTTTTCAAATTTGGCATTTTTTTTTTTTTTTTTTTTTTTTTTTAAAGAGGACACCATTCCATTATATGCCGGAAAACGGGTCCGGCGTCCCTTACATATAAACCGCAGCCATACAAGGCTGGGAAAAGCACTCCCGACCAATCCCATCCCCGACTGCAGCCAGATCATTTTCGTTGACTTTTTGAGTTGTTGGGATTGCGAAATTGACAGTGGGGTTAAATCTAGTGGTGTCCTCTATGTGTTTGGCCGATGATGCCTTGCCCAATGAGGGCCCCACATAATTTTGTAAGGGACGCCGGGCCCGGTTCCCGGCTTTTATAAAGTCATTGTTCATTTGGAAAAAAAAAGAAATTTGCTCAAACCCTAGCTGCCACTAACTGGTCATTTGAAAGCAGATGGAATTCAAAAAAGATTCAAATCTAGCACTACTAAACTTAGTATCTCCTAATTACTCACTAATCCTAATACGCTAATTAACCAAATGTAATTACGATTCCCTAATTAATTACCAACCCTAATACGCTAATTACCAACCCTCATATACAAATTAGACAAAAGTAATTACGATTCCCCTACAATGCCATCTCTATTTCCATCTTTCTTCCTCTTTGTCGGATTACTATTCCCCTATGTTCTAATTGGTATCCACTAATTACTCCACAATCACCATCTGTCTAAACTAAACTAACCCAAAACATCTCATCCAGCAGCACCAACGCGCCAATAGCAAGGGAGGAGCGTAATGAGTCTATCCGTTGACCCAAACACAGGCACAGCACCCCAAATGTCGATGCTAAACACCCCAACCTTCCATTCCACCGTCGATCGGGCATACACCAAGCACTTCAGTCAGCATCGCCAAGCTCTGTCCAAATCCTCTCCCAACTCATGCACCTTTTTTTTGTCTTCCGATGCCACCCTGAGGCAAAAGTTGCTCAGTGTATTTTTCTGCTTAGCATAGTTTTTTTTCGTTTTTTTTTTTTTTTTTTTTTTTTTTTTTTGCTCGGAGTGTCCCTGGTCCTTGCACGGCTGGACCGCCCGGGAAAAAAGGGTGACCCGGGCGGCCCGGCTGGTAAACCTAGGCTTTTACTACTTTTTAGTACTTTTTACTTTAACGAAATGGCAGCGCTTGTAGGGCTTGGAACTTGGGATCCATAATAGGAAAAAGAAAAAAAAGGGGTAAAAAAGGATCAGCAGCTAGGCTACCAGAGCGGCCCGGGGCAACTTCCCCCACTGGGCCAAAAGAAATAAAAAAATGATGAGACTCCGACGAAACAGTTTGTCGCAGCCCCTCGTTTGATGTCCTCTTCTCCCTCCCTCTCTGCCCACTGTTTACCGAGCAGCTCTGTTTGACAATATATTCTTTTTTTGTTAAGTGTTTATATTAAAATTGGTGAAGAATTTCGATGTGACCCTGAGGCAAAAGTTGTTCAGTTATTTTGCGCATCACATAGTTTTTTTAACTTTTTTTTTTTTTTTTTTTTTTTTGCTGGGCCCTTCCCTGGTCCTTGCACGACCGGGCGCCCAGTCAAACAAGGTGACACGGGCGGCCCGGCTGGTAGCCCAGATCGGCAGTCTAATTCAATATAGGAGGTCTGACTGACCCATCGCAGCGCTTGTAGAGGAGGTCCAAGTGGATGCAGGTTGGCAGGTTCCATTTGCGTGCTCGGCCCATCGGTGTTTGAGGGGGTGGAAAACAAAAAAGAAAAAGGTTTTTTAGGGGGGGTGGAGGGGGAGGGATGAACAAAATAGAAAAAGATCGAGCGAGTGGCCTAGCTCAGTTGGTAAGGCACACAAGTGGCCTTCAGGAGGTCTTGGGTTCAATCCCCAATCGGCCTCATGTACCTTCCTGGGCAGGCTTGGCGCCCGCCACCTAGAGATAGGTCCCCCTCCGAGTGACATTGAGCAGAGAACTGCTGATGTTCATAGGGGGAGGGGACCAGAGGGGAGGCACAGCAACCGGCCCACCGAAGAAGCTCGGTCCTGATGCTACCGTCTGACCTCTGGCCAGTATTGCCCACCTGCTGTAGCAGAGTATCGCACCTGCTGGTGGGTACAGCTCCCGCATGTTCCCTCGTTGGAGGCTTGCGCACGAATGTGGCTGCTTCGGGGTTCCCCGTAATAATACTATAATGACAATAAAAAAAAGGCCTGAAGGTTCGTCCTGTCCCGTAGGGGGTGTATGCAGGATTGATGGAGGGGATTACCCTAAATCACAAGGAGGTGGGTGGGTTTTGCGGGGCTTTTTGGCCCCTGCCACGCGGGGGGTGGGGTAATTCCCTGGTTAGTGAAAACTGCATCGTGGTGGGAGTTGTTTTTTTTTTATGAAGAGTGTGGGGAGGTGCTATCCGCTTTGAATCGCAAGGAGGTGGGTGGGATGGAGGGGATTACCCTAAATCACGAGGAGGTGGGTGGGTTTTGCGGGGCTTTTTGGCCCCTGCCGTGCGGGAGGTGGGGTAATTCCCTGGTTAGTGAAAACTGCATTGTGGTGGGAGTTGGTGTTTTTGTATGAAGAGTGTGGGGAGGTGCTATCCGCTTTGAATCGCGCGGAGGTGGGTGGGCTTGCGGGGTCTCTGTCAGCAGTTTGGTGCCTGTGGGCACAGACCCCTGCCGCGCGGGTGGCAGGGTGGATTAGCAGGGGTTGGTAGTAACTCTGGATGAATAGAGGACATGATCAAGTAGTGCTGACCGTTGATTTCCTCCTTTCTGTGTTTTTTTTTTTTTTATTAATAGACGGAGCGAGGGGCCGGTAAAAATTTGCGTAAGCTGCTTAGCGTGCTCACCCCACGGTATTCTTTAGTAAAAGGCGAAAGAATAGTGCGCTAATTGGTTTTGATTGCATGTTGCGTATGGTTTTCTTTTCATGATTGGTGGAATTAGGGTTACTAATTAGGGTTGTCATGACTGTTGTGATTAGTTTTGCCGATAATTTTCGTTGATTTTTCAGTAGTAGGGACTGGAGTTGTTGTGGAGTCGACTACGGGTTGAAATCTCGTGGTGCCCTCGATGTGCTTGGCCGGTGATGCCTTGCCCGTTCAGGGGCCCGTCTAATTTTGTAAGGGACGTCGGGCCTGGTTCCCGACTTTTATAAAGATTCTTCTTCTCTTAAAAAAAAAAAAAAAAAGAGTACAATAAAAAATTTGGACCATTTCTCTGTGGAGTTGTTGTGGAGTCGACTATGGGTTGAAATCTCGTGGTGCCCTCGATGTGCTTGGCCGGTGATGCCTTGCCCGCTGAGGGCCCCACCTAATTTTGTACGGGACGCCGGGCCCGGTTCCCGGCTTTTATAAAGATTTGCAAACGTGCCAAAAAAAAAAAAAAAAAAAAAGAAAGAAAGGAAAAGAAATTCTTTACCAAATTTAAAATAAAAATTTTAATTAAAAAATATTTTTCTTTTCTCTTTTTTTCTTTTTTTATTTCTTTTTGGCTCGGCCGGGCAAGTGGACCCGGGCCACTCTGGTAGCCTAGCTTTTTATAATAAAAAAAAAAAAAAGAGAGAGAGAAAAAGGTTTGGTTTGGGTGAAGTGGGGGTATCATGATGGTAAAGCATGAAGCTACCCTCTTCACCCGAATACAATGTAGGGTGACGACAGTCATTATTGCTGTATCTAGACTTCAAAGTCGCCCAAATACAGCTATAATTACTGTACGTTATATTCGGATGAAGAAGGTAGTGTTGTGATGTGTGATAATGAATACATAAATAATACATTAAACAAAAACAAAAACAAAAGAAAAACAAAAAACACTGTAGGATACATATGAATTGCCACGAAAAAAAACAAATGGCCACAGCCTCTTGTTCCAAAGAAATTTCCAATACCCCCCCCACCCCAAAAAAAAAAAAAAAAAAAAAAAAAAAAAAAAAAAAAACCAACAAAAAAAAAAAAAAAAAAAAAAAAAAAAAAAAAAAAAAAAACTCACCTATTATACATGGCTCAACAAAATGGATGAAGTTGTTGTTTGCAAGAGCCCTTAGCACCTGCCGATAAAAACCACAGACCCAATTCATAAACCACAAAAAAAAAGGAAAAAAAAGGAAAAAAAAAGAAAAAAAAAGAAAAAAAAAAAGAATGCTTGACCAAAAAACACAGTGACTCAGAAAAAAAAAAAAAAAAAAAAAAAMACAGTGAACCAACATTCATTCATCTTTTGCACGAGAAACGCAGGACACATCCAGTTGGTTCACACCGCCACATCCAAGCCAAGGGCGGAGAGGTTGGGCACAGTGATGGTCCTGCCAAAACGCCTTTTTTCTTTTTTTTATTTTTTTTCCTTTTTTTTCCTTTTTTTTTGGGGGGGGGAGGGCGGGGGGAGAGGGGGGTTAGTAACTGGAATGTGCGAGGCCTAAATGATAGAGACAGACGAACGAGATTGGCATCATGGGCACATTCACAGGATGCCCACGTGCTATGCCCCCAGGAAACAAAACTGTGGCCCTCCTGAATTGCTGAATTCAGGAACTGGTGGTTGGGCCCGCAGTTTTGGGCCTTTTCCCGGTGGTACAAAAGGGTCTGGATATCGAACTTATTGACAGTAGTTTCGCAGATATCAAGGGGCGCTTTGTTTGGGTAAAGGCGGCAATTGGAAATGAAGACGGGGGGGTTATGTCAATATACGCCCCCAGTCTATTATGCTGAAAGATGTGAATTTTCTTGCCGATCTTCCGGGTTTTCTCTCCCGGACACAAAGAACCTGTTAATTGCAGAAGACTGGAATACCACCATTCTAGTGCCTGGCCTGGACTCACCATGCTTTTACCCAATTTGAAATGACGCAAAGATACTACTTGAGCTAATAGAGACACAAGCTTTAATGGATGTTTATCAGCTGATGAACCCAGACTCATTTGGGCATTCCTGGTACGGTCCGCAGCCAGACGGGCATACACGAGAGAAGATTGGATCACTGGAGAGCAGTTGCAGTACAAACTTCCAAGAGTTCACAACAGAGCAGTAAACTTCTACCTGTTTTTTTTTTTGTTTTTTTTTTCCCCGGGTGCCTCCTGGACTGCTAGGTCTATCCCCTGGAATCCAGGGTAATCAATGCTGGCAGGGATACGTTCCCTACATTGATCAAAGTTCGGTACTGGTTCTTCCTTGACAGAAAGGAAATAATGTATCAAAGGGACGCTGGGCCCGGTTTCCAGCAGGTGGACGCTCCCCACCAATAGATGGAGCAGCCCGTCAGGCAAAGCCTCAATTCGGGTGGTTCTCTTACCACCACCGGGATAGAGGCCTTGCACAAGGGCTTTAAAAAAAAAAAAAAAAAAAAAAAGAGCAGTAAACTTCGACCTCATCAAGAATGTTGCCTGCTCGTACCAGCATCCCTAGCACCTGTTCGGGTTGTTTTATTAAAAAAAAAAAAAAAAAAAAAAGGTAACGCTGGGCCCAGTTGTGCTGCTCCCCACGAATAAATTGGAGCCTCTTGTTCCCATAAATAAATAAATAAATAAAAAAAAAAAAGAAAAAAAAAGAAGAGGTACCCCCCTCTTGCTTATTATCTCTGAGACATCGAAATTGTCCTGCTGTTGGCACCTGGTTTGGGTCTCCGGATAACCCCGCAGAGTACTGGCAGGTGCTGGGTCTGCCAGCTGCAGCGGGAACAAAGGTTCAGATTTGGACCAGGTGCATTAATGCTGACGAGACTGAGCGGCTAGCATGGAAAGGGGAAGAAGTGGTGTCCCTGGACGAAGACGTGGAGGAAGTACATGTATGGACTACACAGCAGGACGTAACGGGAAGGAGACGTGCACAGGCGGACGATTGGCAACGTCCTTCAAGGTGGAGCCCCACCTGTGGGGATGGGCCAATTGGGAGAAAGACGGAAGCTTTACTGAGTTTACTCCTTTGAAGTTTGAGCCACTACACCACTGAAGTGGGCAGAGCCATCCGACTAAAAAAAGGTATCTAAAAAACTCCATTGGTCTCTGCTATCCAAAAGTGGAAAGATGGTGCAGCTGGGTCTATTTCGCAGGAGCAACAAATAAAGCTATGGAGGCAACTCCAAAAACTACAGGATCAGAAAGCAGCCAGCCTTCTTAAAAAAAAAAAAAAGCCAGCCTTCTGTGGTTGCCGTCGATGCAATCAGTTCCTTCTGCCTCTTGGATATCTCAGAAAGGTATGAGGATCTCTCCTGTATGTGTTCGGTATAATTGGGCTTGGGAGACAACAGCACATCTATGGATTGATTGTCCCTTTGTCTCTTCAAGTGTGGCCATGGTGGAGGCATCATTGGCTGTCTTTGGTTAACTCCACCCTCACCTGGTCATATCACCTGGTCATCACGAGACATGGATTCTTTCGGGCCGCAGTAATTCGGTTTGGACCTAGGCTACCAGAGTGGCCCGGGGTCACTTGCCCGGCCGGGCCATAAAGAATAAAAATAATAAATTATTCTTAAATTTTATTTTTTATTTTAAATTTGGTAAAGAATTTCGATGTGACCCTGAGGCAAGAGTTGGTCAGTTTATTTTTCTGCATAACATAGTTTTTTTTCGTATTTTTTCGATGTGTTTTTTTTTTTTTTTTTTTTGCTGGGACCTTCCCTTGTCCTTGCACGGGCTGGCCAGCCGGGACCCGGGCGGCCCGGCTGGTAGCCTAGGTTTGGACCTTTTTTTTTTTTTTTTTCTCGGGTTGGGGATATGTTGCTCAGGTGTGCAGGGGACTAATTAGGAATGGGATTTGGCAAGCACGTAACAAAAGACTTTTTCAATGATGAGGCTTCCCACGTGGAAAAGATAAAAGAGTTTAATCAGATCACAGATTAGGTTCATGATCATTGCGGACTGGCAGAGGAAAGGTCCAATTTGGTTTATGCGTAACTGTGCACTGCACAGTCAACTTGCGTCAGTATCCCAGGAAGGGAAGCTTCTGACGTTCCAACCTCACGCCATGTGCTGTCTTTCAGTCAGAGTGATAAATTGTGCAGAATAGGCCTTGAAAGAACAACAAAATAGGGTGTGCCAAGGATTTTCTGGGATATTGAGTGCAGGGCCACAGACGGAACTGAAAGCCCCCATGCGATCCCAGTTTTAGTGAGAAAGGACCATAGCCGCGCGGGAAAGAAATGGCGTGCTACTTTCAATTTTTTTTTTTTTTTTTTTTTTTTTTTTGAAATGAAGATTGAGGCCGGGGTCCTCACAGTCTACCCGGAGTAACCGAACCGAACATGCTGAGAACCGGGCTCAGCGTCCCTCATGTGATGATGATGGTGATGCTAGTGATGATGGACTTCTAGTGATTCTTAGAAAAGTGTAAGATAGTAATTCCGATGATGATGATAATGATGATGATGATGATGTCGTGATTAGAATATAAAAGAGACTATGCTATATCAACGATTCTAAACACCTCCTGAAGCCCACAGCAGTTTTCCAAAAAACTCGACTATCTAAGGGATTTCCAACAGATCCTAACAAAGCTCACCGAAACTGACTTATTCTTTGACAAACTCAACCAGGCCTCACGCCCCCTAACTGCTAGGTTACAGAGCAGCGCGACTCACTCCAGCTCCGGCCAGTGTCGTCCTGTGTCAGCAACCCCCAGCTGTCCTTTCAAACGTTCGCCTAATCCAAAAAGTATCTCTGAACCTCACAGCACTGCAGATATCTGGCAGGGTACGGGCGGGGGGGGGTGGGGGGGGGAGTACTGGTGGTATCACCAGCAATGGGCATCTTTGGTCCTAAGGAAAAACAAAGAGGAAATAGAAAAAGGCCCACGGCCACAGGCATTATCAGCTGGGGACAGAGACAGGCACATCACAGGTAGCAGACCTTCCACTCTCTGTCGTCTCTTTGCTCATTCGCCGGTTTGTCCATCCTGTTGGGAAAAAAAAAAACAATTACCAGAACAGTAAATTGGGAAAAACACAATCACTGAGCAAGAAGCTTTCACCGTCAAAATTTTATATCTGTTTTATTTTGTACATTCTATTTCATTTTGTAGATATATACACTGCTATGTTCACACCCATTACACGGAACAAAACCCAAATTTGAGACCACGCCATGCATCACAACTCGAGAAGGAGAGGAATGAGTTCAGGGACGAAGACGAAGACGAAGACGAAGACGAAGACGAAGACGAAGACGAAGACGAAGACGAAGACGTAGACGAAGACGAAGACGAAGACGAAGACGAAGACGGCGATAATGATGAAGACAACGACGGTGATAACGATGAAGACAACGACGGCGATAACGATGAAGACAACGACGGCGATAACGACGACGACAACAAAGAAGAAAAAGAAGAAGGAGAACATAAGCTTGAAACAATGTCATCTCCTTCCTCTTGCCACCATCATCTCCCTGAGACTCCCTCACATAAATCTGAATAGAGACAATTCGTGAATTGACGGCTTTCTTGGTGGATGGACGGAGGGGTTTGTGCCATGGTGACATGGAGGTTGGGTTTGCGAAGGCGCTGGAGCTGTGCCTAGTGTGTTTGGCAGTTGTACTTTTTAAGTTTTAAAGTCTTTTATCATCAACAACTTTCATTATTAAACCACCAGTACATGGCCCCAAAAAAGGCAACTGGAGAACCTGTTTTGAGCCTCTCCGAATATTTAGGAGGCTGAGCGCCATAGATCAAATGAATCGCCGGCGGGCGGCCTCCGAAAGGGGCCCGCGGCCGATGGCTGGCATGTACTGGTGCTTTAAGGACCTGCAGTGGGGAGTTCATTGTCATCTTGGCGATGTTAGAAGACAAAGACGAGAAAGAAAGAAAGGAAGAAGAGAAAGAAAAAAAGGAAGAAGAGAAAGGAAGAAGAAGAAGAAGAAGAAGAAGAAGAAGAAGAAGAAGAAGAAGAAGAAGAAGAAGAAGAAGAAGAAGAAGAGGAATGAAGAGGGAAGAAGGAGAAGGAGAAGAAGAAGAATGTGAGGTCCTTTTTTTTTTCTTTTTTCGAAATGGAGATGATTTTTGCTTGGTTCTGTTCACAATTTGATTAACTTTCCTTTTCCAGGAAAAGACACAAAAGAAGAAAATGGCTTAGGAGGGTCACCCTTACTTTCTGTAATAGTGATACTGAGCTCTTAACCTCGAAGGGGTGTGGAATCCATACAAGTTAACCAGCCTGCACTGCATCACAGCAGAGAGGAAAAGGAAAGACCCGGAGAGCCCGGGGCTTTTTGAGGTATTGAGAGAGAGAGAGAGAGAGAGAGAGAGAGAGAGAGAGAGAGAGAGAGAGAGAGAGAGAGAGAGAGAGAGAGAGAGAGAGAGATTTCATTAAAATTCAAACTTTACAAGTGGAAGGGTGTGGGGGAACCTAAGGTTCAGCAATTTTCCAGAAAGTCTGCACAATTTCATGACAGTCTAATCTTATTTCAGAAAGACAGCACTTTCAGAGCTTGACACTTAGCTTTTTCTTTTCTTTTTTTTTCTGGACACAGCTTTGAAAAAAAAAAAAAAAAAAAAAAAAAAGCTTTGGAATCAGGTACTCTCAAAAGAAGAAAAAAAAACTTCAAAAAAGAAAGAATGCACTGATTTAGTATCTTTCTTTTTTTTTTTTTTTTGTGAAAAAACCCGGGTTGTTGTAGAGGCTGGATCTTACAATTAACACTCCTAGCCATTAAAAGGTCCGATGAAGTGTCGGGATCGCGGTAATCTCGATTGTGTACTGGTTAGATACCCACCCTTGGCTTACACGCTGAATGTCCTTCTCCTCATTCAATTTGATTGAACCGAGCTGAAAACCTCCGCCAGATTCATCTAATTTTATTATTCATTGTTTGCTGCTGCTGCTGTTTTGTTCTTCTTCCTCTTCCTCCTCCTCCTCCTCCTCCTCCTCCTCCTCCTCCTCCTCCTCTTCTTCTTCTTCTTCTTCTTCTTCTTCTTCTTCTTCTTCTTCTTCTTCTTCTTCCTCCTCCTCCTCTTCTTCTTCTTCTTCTTCTGCTGCTGCTGCTGCTGCTGCTGCTGTTTTGCCTAGCTTCTTACTGGCTACCTCTTCACGGGAATAGAACGCAAGGCCATTATCACTGTATCTAGACTGCCAGTTGGCCCGAATACATTATACAGACAGCGATAATGACCGGGTGTCCTATATTCAGGAGACGATGGTAGGGTTTTGCTCTTCTGAATTGCGGCAAGCAGTATGGCTTTTGAATGAATACAGTTCAATACACTCAATACTGAGTCAATAGGTATCATTAGGTGCACCTCATAAACACTCAAGACCCCAATGTCTTTTAGATGGGATGCTGGGCGCACTTTCCAGCCGCGGCAACGGGCTCCTCACCCCTAGAATGAGGTCATTCAGGAGGGGTGCATTTATCACTTCCAGGAGAGTGAGAGTGTGTGTGTGTGTGTGTGTGTGTGTGTGTGTGTGTGTGTGTGTGTGTGTGTGTGTGTGTGTGTGTGTGTGTGTGTGTGTGTGTGTGTGTGA